TTCTGGCCTGAGCTGGATATATATATGGTGGGCTTCTTTGCTTCCGTGTCGTATCTCACTTCAAACAATTCTGGTCGGGCTGTCAAAGTTACACCGACGAACTGTGCCTCGTGACTCGCTCCGCTGGATGGCTTTGCAATTGCGACATTTTCACTCAGTTATACAAACGCATTAGTGCTCGATACCATCTGTGTAATAGGTGTTTTTGGCAACTCTAACCCGGATTAATCTGACCGCTCCTGGTGGGGTCTCTTAGTGCAAGCGGTTAGAACGTTGACTGTACTGCAGCCCTGCCCTTGCTGCCTTGCCTTTTCTATCCCACTGAGGCCACCGCAACCTTTTCACAACTAGGTCAGATAAATTATTTTGCTAACTGAACTTGTGTTCCTCGTTTAAAAATAACGGCAGTATGTTGCTACGCTTGTCCCACTTTTTTTAAGCCAAATTGGCATTATAGAAATTAATTGCCTGCGTTCTCTGAAATCCTCGTAAGTATGGGAAATAAAATGTTACTCAAAAATGCCCCCGCTTTTATCGCTGCATTCTCGTCGTTGGTAGCCTTATGTGTTGTTTTATTTATAGCGTTTGATTTCTTACATCCTGGTGAGAATAATTGCTCGTCTTTTTAAGGTTTCCCCGTTGTTTGCACCAAGAATGCGAAAGCGCGAAAAATGAGCCTTCCTTGTGTGCGCAGCAGTAAGGAAATCCCGCTTGTTTTGTTCAGCACATATGGATGAGTTAGCAACTGCTTTTTATACTCTCCCTCCATAAAAATGTCATCCAAATCGGTATGACGCACGTACTAACTCCAACAGTCCGTGTGACCCCCTTCCTGTGCCATTTCCGTCCCTCGAAGTACATGCGCATGTGATGTATCACCCTATACACAACCATTTTTGACGATAAAGGTGGTTGTATGCCGCCTTGATTTTGCCGGCTTACTGAAGAAAGCGCTATTTTGAAGGCCGTGGAGCATGGCGCGCTATTGCAGCCAGAATCCGAACCCCGGGAAAATTATGTCATATATATTCACGCGGGAATGTGTTGCGCTGGGGCAAAAACTAC